TGACAGCTAGGAAAGTGAGGTATCTCAGAAGTTGACAGTACACCAAAAAATGAACATATGATGGAAGGGTGTTAAGTTTACCTCTGGGGACTCAATCTGTGGCGCTCCATGAGGCCCTTTCACATTACCCTCAGGATTACTGTGACTTTTCCTCTCACTTTTTACTTCCCCTCCACCTCTATTCCTGGTCTTAAACCTGGAATAAGGAAAAGCCATGTTTTAGGCAGAGCGTGGTGGCTCACACCTGTAATCCAACACTCTGGGAGGCTGAGGAGGGTAGATTGCCTGAATTCATGCGTTTGACACCAGCCTGAGCAAAATGAGATCCTATCTCTACTTAAAAAAATAGAAAAATAGAGGCAAGAGGATCACTTGAGCCCAAGAGTGGGAGGGTGCTGTGAGCAATGACGCCATGGCACTCTACTCAGGGTGGCAGCTTGAGACTCTGTCTCAAAAAAAAAAAAAAAAAAAGGGAAGGTTTTTTAATCATTGCAATGAAATTAATGTGGTTAACTTCAGTTCACATAAGAAGGGTACTAAATTTCACCAAAGGTAAAGTGGAATTATTGGATTTAGAATACTTTGGAATATCTGCATTTCTCTTGGAATATTTATATTACTCTTAATCATACTTGAATCTTTTTGAGTAGCACAGTGCAGTCCTGTGTATCACATACCTGGGTTGTCTACAATTTTTGCTTCTCTGTAAGGCCTTCTGTGATTTATTTGCATCATACGGACTTACGTTTCTTTATTGGTAATATATTACATATTATTTATATCTTAGTTTTTAAACATTCATTGAACAGTGGTCAAAATATTAAAACCAAGTAAATATCCAGTAAAATTCTTACCTCTAGAAGCAGATTATAGGATCCAATATCATACCCTTATTTTAGATGGCTAAGACACATTATTTACTTTTAGGTCTTTTCCAGTCCTTTACTTTTCATTTTTGTTACATTGTTCTCAGTTTATGCCATTGTTTGCCTTATCTTGGAACCAAACAATCTGGGAAAAGTTTCAAATTTTTTTTTTTTTTTTGCAGTTTTTGGCCGGGGCTGGGTTTGAACCCGCCACTTCCAGCATATGGGGCTGGTGCCCTACTCCTTTGAGCCACAGGCACCACCTATCAAATATTTTTATTGTGGGTTGTCCCAAACCTGCAGTTTCCTAGATATGAATAATATAAAAATAAGCTGGAATCTGATACACTCATTAATACGAAATGATGTGTTTATGCAGTATGTCTGTGTATATATCTTACATTTATACGTGTAGATAAATTTATATGGTTTTCCAAGTTTTTCATTAAATCAACAATACATAATTATAATATAAAAATAATTTTTTTTCTTTTAAAGTGAGTAGATTGTTGATTCCTCCCTTTCCTTGCTAGAGGTCAGTATCATCAGTGCTACCCTGTGAAGTTGAACAGTTAAATAATGCAGCAGCTTATTAGACTCTATTACTTAGAATATTATTTCTAGGTCTAGCTATTTTTGAAAGCCAGCTATGTTTTCATGATAAATATATATGAGTTGTATTACTATTATATAGTTGCATGTATTATTATTCCTCATTATCTGTTAGTATGTGGAGATTAGCAATCATTTGTAGTATATTGTTCCAATGTAATTTTTGGCATTATATACCATTATTTTCTATGCAATAACCCATTCTTTTTATGTCTTGAAACAACTTTAGCCACTAACAATATTTGTTATAACTTTAGAGAATTAATTCTGTTTCTATGAGTAAAGTATTAACAAACCTCCTTCTTCTTCATGGGAAGATTACACTGGGTTACCTTTCTAGTTCTGCTTCACTGAAAAACTGAAGAGAGTAACAATGACCCTGCTTGGTGGCTGCCTTGAGACTAAGTATGATGGACCATAAATGCCTACTGGAAGCCAAAGCTTTGGGCTTCCCAAGGGGAACCCATGGATACCATGCTCCTGGGATGTTTCAAGTCTGCACTGGTGTGGTTCCTCCACCATTTGTGTGGTCTTGCTTCATAACACCTGCCCTATCTGCTGCAGGGGCTGGAGATGGTCCCTGGACTCCTCCTGAAGAGACATGCTTAGTGCTGTCCTGCTGCCATGTTGTGTTCCTGCCCTGCATCCTTCTGCAGAGCTAGTCTGCGTCACATTTTGGCCTACTGTGTCTCGTTAGTTTGATTGTCCTGCTGAACCCCATACCACTGCTGCTGGTTGAGCAGACTAGGCACTGTACTATCATAAATATTTAACACGAAAAATGTAATAATAACAAGTATCTTTCTTTATTTTTCAGAAATTGATTACAGACGAGTGCTTCTTTTTTGAACGACTGGAATCTAATAACTACAATACTTACCGGTCAAGAAAATACTCCAGTTGGTATGTGGCACTGAAACGAACTGGACAGTATAAACTTGGATCCAAAACAGGACCTGGGCAGAAAGCTATACTTTTTCTTCCAATGTCTGCTAAGAGCTGATTTTAATGGTAGCATCTAATATAATCTTGTGTGAAAGGAGTAGTAACTATTTTAGAAATTTGTCAATGAGAGAAAAAGAAAATAAATGTGTATAGCTCAGTTTGGACAACTGGTTAGACACCTTTTTATCCAACAGTAAAATATTTAACCATTGTCTCAGTAAAGAAAAACAACAAAAATTCTTGGAAAATATGTAGACTTTCCTCCCTCTTTTGTATAGCACCTGCTGTTATCCAGTGAAGAATACCTAGAGCTACAGTCTTTCTCATACATTCGCTTTATTTGAAAAGAGGCTTTTAAAATGTGCATATTTACAAATAAATTTTCTTTGTGGAAATCATATACATTAGAAAATTAGAGTCAGGTATTTAATCAATCCCCAAAATTCACTACTACTTATATTAGGGCATACTTTAATCCACATGTACAATTTCACTTAAATCTTTTTAGACATGTAAATGTGAATTTAATACATTCCTGGTATTGTTTTGTAATTCGCTGGCAGTTCCTTGTGGAACAGTTTATAGAATAGGCCTGTGTGAACTGCTTGAAATTCTTCCATGGTCAGATCAATTTTGTCAAATCCTTCTCTGTATCCATATAGCAACAGTCTAGCAACTCTGCTGGTGACGGGAGTAGTATTTTTGGCCTTGACCAGGTCATTGAGATCCATCCACTCACATCGTGAGCATTCATGTTGGCAAATATTAATGGTGAATGAACATGGCTGTAGGCGGCAGATGATATACATATCTGACTTCCCAAAAGCGCCAGGATTTGCATGCTGTTGCCGAATACTCAGGAGGGACTTGAATTCTGATTTTATACCAGTCTCTTCAAAAACTTCTCGAACTGCTGTGTCTCCTACATAAGAGAGAGGGGTATAAATCAATAAGGATCACATTTTTAGAATCTTTATCATCAAAGGCTGATACGTTAAGATAGCACTATCTCAAAGTTCAAAAGCAAAACATTATCCCAAGAATGTATTCAATACAAACTCTCTGCCTTCTGGACATCCTGTAATCATAAAGTATTTTCTTACCACTGTCTGTTTAAGAGCCTTTTGGAATAGTGAAAATTTTGAATATTTTTTTAGCTGCTACTTGGAGGCTTATCTACCTGCACATTTTGGGCGTAACTGTCCCTGCTCTATTTACCAAAAGGTAAAAACAGGTTGCGAAAGTTAAAACATATGCTGTAAAGCTGCCATTAATACTCTAAAATACCATTTCTTCATTATTATCCTATTCCTGATCATCTGTCAAAACTGCTGGCTTTCCTTACAAAGGTCTGTTGAGCTGCAGAATGTATTGAACTATGAAATGATTCTAATCTCTTCTCGTGATCTTGGGTGGGACACAGGCCTCCAGGTAGCACAGATTCTTTCATAACCATTTTATTATTATTTTCTTCCAGTTACTTTGTCAGATTCCTACCAGAGTAATTATTGACATTTCCTTTGTTTCTTGAGATAAAATTCCAAAGAACTTGTATTCATTCTTTCCACATTAAATGCTATAGTTATTTTATCAGAAGTTTAAGTTAAGTTTATGTATTATAAGGTTGATTTTTTTCAATTAAATGCAATTTCTGTGCAGGATTTTTATTGCCATTAAGATTTTTCTGTGGCTGCTTTTTCTAAACATCCAGATGGACCCCGTACAGGGACTTTCCCTAATTTTATGATGCTCTATCATTGTCTTTTCCAAAGCATTTCAGAGAGCCCTTGAAAAAGCTTCTTAACTTTGCTGGGAAGCCGTAGAGCTATCACTAACATGTTTTGTACAGATACCCTTTAATGCCTCCATTGTTCTTGTTTGTCAAATAGTAAATGATATTAGCCTTCTCAGTAATCCTACTGGTGAAAAATAGGCAAAGGAGAGGAAGTTACAAGAATGTGTGTCAATTCTTGGATGCTCTGATTGTAGACTGTTTACCAAATACTTTGGATAGGCTCTTGTTCCTTCTCTTAAGAAACAGCTATGGAAAGATGCAAAGTATTTTGAAGTACATGACATTTATCTGCTATTTTTCAAGTACATGCTGAGTTCCCTTATAATTGAGATTTTTCCAAAGGTTAAATATGGCTAGAAATTATACTTTTAAACTGAACAGATAAAGAAAGAGTCTAGGTTAAGAAAAAAGAAACTTTCCTTAATAAAAACATTTTAATCTGGCATAAATGCATGCTTGTTATTAAATTTATCATTAAAGACTGTGGCCCTAGTCTTAAATTTTATGTAATGTTCCCTGTTGTTTAAATGTTTATTTCTGTTCTTTAAATGGTTTGACAAATAATCACAGAGCTCCTGTTTAGCTTTTAGTACCACAGGTCGAGAGTTCAGCATTCAGCTTGAGTGTAGGCTGTTTATGTCATGGAAGCACCAGATGAGGTTTGTGAGCAAATCTGCCCTGCTCAGCAGTCAGCCTGGGTAGTTCTAATCAGTTTAACTAGAATAAGCATATCATTGACTAGAGTGAAAACTGCATGGAAGGCCCTGTAAGTGCTTTTATATCCAGGGTATGGAGACCTCTTCTGCTTTGAGATGGAAATCTCTCCAAGGATTTCACAGAAATTTAAATTTTTTAATCAAGATAAAGTGCTCTATTCTGTTGTATCTTTATTATTTTAATGTAATGTAAGCTAAACTGAAATAACATTTACTGTTTTATAGGTTTAAGAAACTAAGATGCTCTTGTTTTTATTTTTGCTGACGAAAGAGAGATGTTTAAATAATGTCATTGTTTTGTTTGGTTACAGAACAATAATGAAATGGAGTTTATATTTGCTACTTCTATTTTGTGATATTTAATAGTAGAGTTAGGTTGAAATAAAGTATAATAGGGAAAATTTGCAGAATGTGGGTTTTTCTGGTGTTTCCCTCTGATTTCCTGCACTGATCATCTCCGTCAGGTTCCACTGTTCTCTGTAGTTCTTCGGCTAATGTAGGAGATTCTCTTCCTGTCAGTGGTCATGAGGTTTTTTAGGAAGGCAATATGACTATTTTAATCCTACAGGTTAGGGTATGATTTTATACTGAAGCCTTGAGGATTGAATTTTCTTTTATATAAGACTCTCTTAATTTTTTAAAAAGTCTATGGATAATGCTTCATTTACCTAGTATCTTCAAAGAATGAAGGATTTCAAACAAATGTATTTCCCAGTTGACTGGTATTTACTATTTAAGAGCCAATATAAATGTTTAACCATTTGTGATGGCAATGATCTAAAGTATATCATATAGTTTCCTAAATATAGGGTTTAGAAAATAATTTCCATAATTTTTAGATGATTTAGCTTCATCATTAAGAATATGTTACTATTTTGTACTGTTTTAGAAAACAGAAATGCCTTCACATAAACATAGTCTTTCAGACCTCTACTGTCAGTCATCATTTCTAGCTGCTTCCAAGGCTTTCTTAATTCTAAAGTAAAGCTTTAATTTATATAATGCCTGGGAAATATTAATGCCAATTGCAGCTCTGACAGAGGCACATATATGATTTCTGGGTTGGAATGATCACAAATACTTAAAAAAAATCAGTGAATTTTTATTTATCTGGACTTAAAAAAGGATCTGGAGTATATTTAAACCTAAAAGTATACATATTTGGCTTGGAAATGTGTTTTTTCATTACATTTAAAATAAGTATAACTGGAGTACAGAGGATCCATAAAAATTCAAATAAAAAAAATCAATTCATTTGAAAAGGCGAGATTCAGAAGAGGAAGCTAAAGAAATCACACAGACTGCTTTTTGCTCTGTCTGGATTGAGTAAGGATCCAAAACGTAAGTTTAACTAGTTCACGCACTCGTATGTCACATACGGATAGTGGGAGATAATTACTTTGTAGGAAAAATGGCCTTTTCTTTTAGCACTTGGACCACTATAAAATCATCAATCTAAACAAAAGGTCAGTAAGTACCTAAAGCCAAGATTTGCTATAGATATATCTTAATGCAATCCATTTATTCATGAATTGTTAGAAGTTGTCTATATATAACGTGTATAAGGCAGTTTTATCAGTTTAACATTAAAAAAGTAAGTTTCAAGTACATACATTTTTTAAATAAAATATTTAAAGATAATTTAGAAAATTGCCTTATTATAATTGTTGGCTAGGGAAAATAGGGGACATGCATATTAAGGAAAAAGTCATGGAGAAATAATACTAGTATAAAATGAATTACCTACTGATTTATTATGGTAGATTGAATTTGGTCCAATGGTTTAAAGAATAGGAAGGAAAATTTAGTTTCTATTTTTCTATTTCCTGTAAATCTGTCACATAAAAACTTCTTAGTTTATTTCATATTTCTGTCTTAACTATTGAGCTCAGTAAACTGTGTTGGGGGCTATTTCGCATTTGAGGCTTTCTCATATTTTTTGCTGTCTTTTGGCCTCCTGACTGTTTAAAATAAATAATAGATAAAATTTTCATAAGGACAAAAATAACTGATTTTGTTCTTATTTTAAAGTTCATTTAAAAGTTATTCTTCATTCTTCTGTGATGGAATGGTCAAGAATTTAATTCCAGCAACAATTTTAGTCATATCCAAAATAACCTTTAAAATGTTAAACTTTTTTTTTTTTTTTTGAGACGGAGCCTCAGGCTATCCGCCTGGGTAGAGTGCCATGGCATCACGCTCACAGCAACCTCAAACTCCTGGGCTCAAGCGAGTCTCCTGCCTCAGCCTCCCAAGTAGCTGGGACTACAGGCACCTGCCACAACGCCTGGCCATTTTTTGGTTGCAGCCATCATTGTTGTTTGGCGGGCCCGGGCTGGGGATTCGAACCTGCCACCTTAGGTGTATGTGGCTAGCGCCTTAGCCGCTTGAGCCACAGGTGCTGAGCCTAAAATGTTAAACTTTTACTGATGTATATCTTAAGCTTCTCCTTTTGAGACAAGTTAATCTAGAAAGAGTCATAAGCAGAGGAGTAGGTGGTAAGCTCTTATACTAATAGAGTAAGTTGTCATGTTAGAAATTTTGCTGCTAATTTTATGGGAGTCCTTATGTAATCTCTCTGAAATTCTGACTTAGTTTGAACAAATCAGAACCAAATTAATTTCTTCCAACATTTTCAAGCCAATTAAAAATACGTGAGATACTCACCAATATCTTCTCCAGGCTCTGACATGCCTCCTGGAAACGTCCACATATTTTTCAACTGCAGAATATAGTTAGAAAATAAAGTTAATGTAGCCTTTGTTCACTAACACATGCCTCTTCAAAATCCATCCATAATTGGTCAAGGTGGTTGGGAATTTATTTTCTGGTAACTGCATGCAATTGTTTTTATAGCTGCTTTCCTCCCTCCTTCCTTTTTTCTTTTTTGGAAGAGCGAAGGACTGATGAAATCTTTCCTCACCTTTTTCCTCAGTAAATAGAAGTAGTTTGGTTTGGTTAATGTGATAAATTATGTATGAATGAAACATTGGAGGGAAACATCTACTGAATTTCTGTAATTTAAAAAAATTCGCTGCTAGTTAACTATGAACAAATAAATAGGAGAATCTTACAGATGCTGCTATAAATAAGTAGATTATACAGTATAAACTTAATCACTAATGTATGCTGTTTTTAATTTTCATATCTATTTCCTATATTGTGTTTTAATAAGATATACATGTATAACTCTTAAGTTTCTATTGTATGTATTAATGGTTTTATATACAAATGAAATTGCTCTGATTTGTAGTGTGAATAAAATCAATTAATTTGTGTTTTATTGCCTACCATTTCTTTGTGTTTTCTTGTCTATTTTTTCTTTTTTTGGTGGGGAGGGGCAGATGGAAAGAACTGTTCTTGGAGTAGGGACAAACATAGGAAAAATAGATTAAAAATAACTATTAGATGATATGGGACAATCATAATTGTAATTTTGTATTTTTTTTTTTTTTTTTT